GTTGAAGGACGTTTGAATTGAAAATTTTAGTTGGTGGACCAAAATGATACTAGGGCAATAGTTTGGGGACCATTTAGGTCATTAACCCTCGAGGATATTTACACTTTAGCAGATTAATTAGCACACTCATCAACTAACCAATATTTTTGAGAGGAGAAAATATCTATATATATATATATAGCAAAAGGAAGAGAATTGTGAAACATTTAAAATACCAGAAAATGTCATCAGTTAATGTAAATATTAAGAATTGAAATTATTAATTAAATAAGGATAATATGGTAAATTCACACTTTTTCATATTAAAAAATTTTAAAATTAAAAGAAAAATAAGATAATGGACCCTCTTTTTATGGAACACAACTACCCATTATCCTTTTTAATTCTAAAATAAATTTAATTTTTTTAAAAAAAAGCCTCTAGCAGGCACAGAAACACATGCTAAGAGGCTAATCTATATATATAAAGCAAAAAGCAGAGAATGGTGAAACGTTCAAAATACCATAAAATGTCTTTGGTTAATGCAAACATTAAGAATTGAAATTATTAATTAAGTGACGATAATATGATAAATTTAAACTTTTTCATATTAAAAAAATTTTAAATTAAAAGAAAAATCAGATAATTGATCCTCTTTTTATGGAACACAAATACCCATTATCTTTTTTTCAGTTCTAAAATAAATTTAATTTTTTCTTTTAAAAAGCCTCTTGCAAGCGCGGAAGCGCATGCAAAGAGGCTAGTAGAATACTAAGGAAGTTCAATTTCCCTAGTACCATTTTTCATGTGTCCGCATATTACCTATCTAACTTTTTGACACATGTCCTTCCACTTAACTCCAAATTAATAATGTTAACCTTTAATTAAGGGTGTGATTTTCCCACTCCCCTTTTATCCACCTACACTTCCTTTTGTTTTTTAATACTTTTTACTATAGGATAAAAGGGAGTGTAAATGAACAAAAGAATAGTAATAACATACAATTTAAAAAAAATGGAGTGTAAGTGGATAAAAAGGGAGGGGGAAAATCAGTACCTTTAATTAAAAAACACTTATAATTGAAGGAAGAAAACCCAACAACGAAGGAGTTCCTTTCTCCTTAGCCAATCGTCGCCCAGCCGGAACATCCTGAGCCATGAGACGGAGGCAGCAACCATGTTGATGACTCAATGGGCACGTTAGGGTTTAGAAATCGGATTCGCTTGTTTCTGAGATTGGAGATGCTTCTGAGATCTTGAAATGACAGTAAGTGGTTAAAAGTATAGGTGTCTTAGGTTTGCAAATGCAAAGAAATGAGCCACTAGAAAAAGGAAGCTGAAAAGAGAACCTAACTAGTGGCTTGATTATGCTTCATTTTCTACTTGGTTATTTTGCAAATTTCATTCTTTGTACGATGCTCCAATTATGTATATCCACGCATCTTATTGTCACAAACAAAACCCAACAACGAACTCCTACCCACCTCCAACCCTCAGCAACCCCAAACCAGCCACCAAAACTCCCACCTACCCCACCCGGCCGGCGACAACTCCCTCTTATTCTCGCCACCGACAAAGCCTCATTTTCTCTTTTCTCTATCTCCTTTTTCATACCTTCATCCTCAATCTATCTCTCTCCTTCAAAGAATAAGCTATAAGAGCAGGGGAAGAAGATAGATCTAGATCCAAAATAAAGGGGGAGAAGAGAGAAGATGCTTTTTTGACGGCAAGAAGGGGAGGGGCTGCACCGGCAGGATAGGGTTATTGACGGAGAAGGAGAGGCGCTTCGCTGTTGGGTTTTTCCCCCTTCAATTATTAGTTTTTTATTTTTTAATTTAATTAAAAGTTAACATTGTGAATTTGGGGTTAATTGGAAGGACATGTGTCAAAAAGTTAGATACGTAA